GCTGAGCAGTGCAGGGATAAAGGGAAGAGAGGCATGGGGAGAGAGACAGCCTCCTCCCACAGCTGCTAACCAGAGATGTGTCAGGATGTGGCCAGTGGCCCAGTGAGTGGAGAGTGCCCATGAGTGAGTTATGAAGACAGTGGGAAGCAGAGAGCTCAGAGGAGCAGCTTCAGAAGGACCAGGATGTGAGCTTTGCCTTCCCACCTGCTGGAGGTGTCAGAGTTCGAACTGGGAGCCCACACAATGGTGAGGTGTGGTGGTATTGTGTTCCCTAAAATATTGTACACCCTAATAAACTTAGTGGGGTCAGAGACAGAACAGCCACTAGATATAAAGCCTAGAAAATGGTGGCACTCACTACTTTAATCCTAGTACTCCAAAGGCAGAAATCCCTCTAAATCTCTGTGAGTCCAAGGCCACATTGGAAATGGCCAGGCATGGTGACACACGCCTTTAATCCCAGAAAGTGAGCCTTTAATCCCAGGGAGTGATGGTAGAAAGCAGAAAGGTATACAAGGCGTGAGGACCAGAAACTAGAAGCATTTGGCTGGTTAAGCTTTCAGGCTTCTAGCAGCACAGTTCAGCTGAGATTCATTTTGGATGAGGACTCAGAGGCCTCCAGTCTAAGGAAACAAGGCCAGCTGAGGATCTGGCAAGGTGAGGTAGCTGTGGCTTGTTCTGGCTCTCTGATCTTCCAGTGTTCACCCCAATATTTGGCTCAGGTTTGATTTTATTAAAAAGAAAATTTTAAGATTCCTGTTACAGTGAGGGGCCAATGGTCCTCCTGAATGTTATGCCAGAACTTGGCTGTTTAGTCAAAATGGACATTGTCATGTCTTAAGTGTTTGCTCACGTTGTCTGGTTCGCCTGAAACCACATTTGCATGAACTTAAGTTTGCTGCAGAGTGTCTCAGGACAGAGTTCTCCCACATCACAGTTCCTCTTCTCCTCTTCTTCCTATGTCTTTCCATCCCCTTTGAGTTCCCACTTTATAGTATTTACATATTGTGTGAGTAGGTTCAAACACTACAATTCTTGTCTTTTGGTTTTAAGATGTTGTATCTCTGGCCAGTAGGATTTGCTGAAGGAGGCAGAGGCAGGAGGATCACGAGTTTGAGGCCTGCATGTGCTACACATTAAAAAATAAATAAAAAAAAGATGATGCATCTCTGTATGTGGCCCAAGTGATTCTGTGGTTTCTCATTCTCATGTGGTATATGCCAGTGGGATATCCCTCATCTCTCATACAAGTGTGTGATGTGACAACTTATTACCATAGTACTGTAGTCCCAAATTTTAAGATAGGGAACTGAGAATACCAGAAATTAAATCACTTGCCCAAGGTATAATAAATAAGAGGTGTGTATGTTTTAGTAAGTTCCTCAGGTTCCGAATCATTCCATTAAGAAGGGCAGATGCACACATGAGCTCAAGAGACTGTGACAGCATACATTAGACCTGCACAAGCTCAAGCCAGACCAAATCCCAGTATGGAGGAGGGGACGTGGCACAGAGTCCCACCCCTAACAGAGATGCTCTTCCCAATTGATAGCTTCTGGAAGAGGAAAACCAGCTTTCCTTAGTGGAGTGTCACTAGGTACATCAACCACACTCCAGGGCAGGCCCCATGCCCAGGAGCAGCTGACAAACACAAAGGAACTCCATGTTTTTTGTTCTTTTAATGAGAAAAAATAAACATGAAATTGGGTGGGTAGAGAGTTTGGGGAAGATCCAGAAAAAATGGGAATGGGAAAAATATATGATCAAAATATGCTATATTAAGTTTTCAAAGAGTAAGTAAAAATGTTATTTAGAAAAGGATAAAACTATCCACCCATTTTACTGATATATTTTCATCCGATTAGAAAGTCTTAGAAAGGGTGTAGGAATGATCAAATAGAGGTGAGCCTTTGGGATACTTGCCTACATACTACACAATACAATAAGGTGCTGTGGGCTCAGTTTTCAAAGGAAAGCCAGAGATTGAAGTGGAGGAGAAGCTGCATGCGTAGTGGGGGAGGGGTAACTTGGGCACACATGACCTTGATTTCCACAAAGTTCACTCACAGCTTTCAGACCCCTATTGCCTCTATCCCTTTTCAAAGTGTTATTGTGAGAATTACCCTCATTCTTTTCTCTTGCAGACTCTGGCACTCAGAGGAACCCAGTGGCAAGAAGAGATTTTATGTTGTGCTAAATTATCACCCAAATATTAAAGGATGGGGCTGGAGTGACGTTATCTTATGATGGTTATTATAGGTCAGTTAGTGAGATGATGCAGCTGTCTTATGAATCAAACATTCTTTATGGACATGTGACGTGGTTGGAGTGGAATCCATAATCATGGAGATAGCTAGAGAGGTCCTTGTAGGGTCAAACATGGGAGCTTGGAATTGTATATATAAACCAGGGTCTTAGTAATTTCTCT